TAGAATAAATATACTAAAGCTATTATATCTAATTTTAGATTTAACTAATTAATTAGATAATTTAATTATATATATATATTCAATGAATATTCAATGAATTATTTGGTAAATAAATTAAATATTCGAATATTCAATTTGGTAAAAAAAATTTTATTCGAATATTCGAATATTCAGTGAATATTTGAATATACTATTCATCAGATCAGACCTCTAACTTTGATATTAAAAAAAAAAGAAATACAGTCATATCTGAGTTATATTTCCACTAAATTATATTCTAATCTGAGTTATATTTTCATATTTAAGCAAAATAAATTTTTTTTTATATGATTTTATATGTTTTATATATTGAATTATATCTCTGCCTTAGTTATATCTTTAAAAATATTCTAGAAAAAAAAGATAATATAAACTAGGTATAACTATATTATCCCTTAAACCGTTTAGCATACAAATTTGGATACTAAAATGATTTTTGATCTATTTTTGTCTATTTGCTCTAAATTTTATTAAGCCATACTTCTATTTTCTAAGCTAAAATAAAAGTGTACCGCTTGTTGGTTATAAAATAATTCCTATTTTATGAAATTTTTTTAACGATATTTCAAAAATTATTTATTTAACATTGGCCATAATAGAACTTTGATGTCCAAATTTAATACTAAAAAAGGAACCTGCATGTTACACTTATAAAGATTCTTTATAATCATCACATATGGGTCCTTTATATAATATAATATTTAAGTTTATTAAAAATTCTTTAAGACCAATTCTACATAATTGGTTTTAAAGTTAATGTTAAGAAGATAAACTGGCTCAAAAGTATGGGTAAAATAGCATACTTTTCAGTTATTGTGCGAATTTATACTCCTATTCAGATCACATAGAGTGTTACATGCTGTAACTATAGAGTTTGCCATGTGACTCAGGTTTTAAAGAGTCATCATAACCAATTAGAATAAAAATTTTTATAAAAAAAATTTTTTTCCAAGTTCCCTTTTCTTTAAAATATTTTAGCGTACAAATATATATGCTAAATCGGATGGTTTAAGGGATAGGTTTATATTTTTATAAAAATTTTATATCTACTAATAAATAATTTTATAGTTAATATTATATTAATATTTATATTTAATATATTTTATATTTATAAATTAATTTAGTGCAAGTAAAATAAATATATTAAAGCTATTATATTTAATTTTAGATTTAACTAATTAATTAAATAATTTAATTATATATATATTCAATAAATATTCAATGAATTATTTAGTAATAAATAAATATTTGAATATTCAATTTGGTAAAAAAAATCTTATTCAAATATTCGAATATTCAGTGAATATTCAAATATACTATTCATCAGATCAGATTTCTACATGCAAGAATGATCTAAATACATTATATTGTCCATAAGATCTATCATATTCAGCAGATTTTTAATAATGTTCAAATGTCATGATCACAATATCTACTGGATGCTATCTTCAACAATTTTAAAAAATAATTCCAAATGATTTCATAGTTTCTAATTTTAACTACCCATTTACTCAATCCAATTAACAACATTGCCTTGATGAGATTATTAAATTAAATTTAACTTACTAATTGAACTTTTTGCTTCATCATTCAATCGTTCAAGTCTTGTTTTCATTTTTCATCGATTTTGATGTGAAATACCAGGTGAGCAGACTTATTTGAAGAAAGATATGATATAAGACTGCTATATCTATTATTTGAGGTAAATATAAAAAATCCTGCAACTCTTCTCTCCTTTCTCTAATTAATATAGGCTTCATGACGACAGTATTGGTTGACCAATACAAAAATTTGAGGCATTCTATTTACAACTTCAGTATTAATATTGATATCCATTTCTATATTATGATTCTAAGATGGTTGAGTAAAATCAAGCATCAAAGCTAATTGTAAACATCCCTCAGAGAAATCGTCTTCTTCCTCGATTTGAAAAATTAAACATAATTAAAAAAAGAATTAAGGAGTTCCGGAATATTTTTTGTTTTTGTTTTTATTAATTCATTTGTTTAAACCCTCTTATTACACAAAGTATATCACTTTCTAAACCCTTATTAAACACATATTCTGTTTGGATAAAAATATATATATGACAGTCCTTTACAAAATTTTGAAACTAAAAACTTTATGATTATAAAACTAATAATTTTAATATAAATAGTACAATATTTAAAATATAATCCTTACTTTAGTTAATTTATTAAGTTTATTTTACATATTAACTTTTGCTACTGCTACAAATATAAAAATACTTTCAGCCTCTTGTAGACCATCGACTCTTTGTAGGTTAGCAAGTTGTTCAAATTTATTTTCTATTTCAAGATTCTCCTCTTTATCTTCTGAAATAGTCATAAGGTTATGAATTTGAATACTTATTATTACTATTCCAAGAATATCTTTAGCTAGTGTAGTAGCTTATTCATATGCATAGTGGATTGCTAATCTAATCTCATCATCTGAAGGCCAATTCTGTAAGACTTCTAAGTTCTCTACAATACTTGAATCAAAATAATGTGAAATATAATCTAAAAAGTATAAAATTGATTTCTTTAACTTTATAAACATGATTTTATAATAAATTACACCTATATATACTAACCAATACTAGTAGTTTTTTCTCTTTCTGATCTAAGAGAACATGAAAAATATGCCTTGTATATACATGCAATCTTGGGTGTTAATGCAACTAAGTCATTAATCGAAAAATTAGAAAGAACCTGATGAGCCAATTCAAAAAAATATTACACTCTTCTGAACTATATATCCAGGGTATAAAAGGATATTGTGGGTAGTAATCTCGATAAGCAATTGTTAAAAGGATCTAAGATAAAAAATTTTATGATTAGATTATAATTGATAATTTAGATATATAGAACCAGACTTATATACTATAGATTCAAAAAGGCTTGTTAAAATGTTAAATGTCGCTGAAGCTATGAAATTTCTTTTAATACTCATAAATTCAGAATATAACCATTTTGTATCTTTTAAATAGTGAAATTTCATGATTCTGAAATGTATCAATTAGTTCATCTATAATAAAAATAATTATTAAATAATATATTAAAATTAATTAAATTTTTTAAATTTTTAAAATAAATAAACAAAAACAAATAAAAAACAAGTAGACCATATTTTTTATTATTTAAATGATCATTTTCATCAACAATTTGATTGAAAAAT